TGGATGGCTAGAGAGACACATGCCAGTGAGTGTAACCTGCTGGGTGGAATGAGATGTAGAAAAGCTGGGCTAGAACAATCTATTTCCAAGCTTTGATCTTCCCCTTTATTATAGTTACAATCTCTGGTGTCTGTCAAGATGCATAGCTGTAAGAGAATTATTACTATACACATTCAACTGATTGGTCTCTCAGTCAAGTGAACCTAATCAAGCTTTCTTCTTAGATGGTCCATAATAGTTTTCACGGGACAAACGGTGAACCTCTTACACGCATAGGTGAGCGGTGACTCACCTGAACTGTCCCAGTGTCTCCAGTGGGGCTGCTTATATAACTACTCACCAGTGTGAGAGAGAGGTTCATGGCTTGGGCCCGAATGAATATCTAAATGCTACCATTGTGTTCTCCAACTTGTGTAAATTGGACTTCATGTGACCTCTGTACATACATTGTCCGCACTGTTGTGCCATTGAAAACTGTGGGCATCTACTTGATGATAGTTCTTGGTGTGTTGTGGAGTGGGCACTTAGAATTAATTAATGGATAGAAGACCCAGTCCTATAAGGTACTGAGGCCTTCACTTCCATTCTATTCAGGTTATTTGACTGCAATCATCACCATAGTAACTGAGTGCCTTCCAGTAGTGCATTAAATCATTACTTTGCTTTGTAGGACCTATAGGCCTTGTCTACACTGGCAAGTTTCTGCACAGTAAAGCAGCTTTCTGCATTGTAACTCTTGAGGTGTGCACACTGCCAAGCCCCTTAGTGCACAGAAACTGCAGTTGCAGCGCTGTAAAAAAAACACCCCGATGAGAGGTGTACAGCTTTCTGCGCCAGGGCTACAGCATCGCAGTACCAGTGTAGACACCATGGTGATTACAGGGCTGCGATTGGTCTCTGGGAACAATGCCTGTTCTCGCCTCTCTGGTCATCGGTTTGAACTCTACTGCCCTGCCCTCAGGTGACCAACATGAGCCCCACCCCTTAAATTCCTTGGGAATTTTGAAAGTCCCCTTCCTGTTTGCTCAGTGATGCGTGCAGTGGTCTCAGCGCATCTTTCCAAGTTGCCATGCCTGCTCCATGTACCAGGCAATCCCCCGCTTGGAACAGTGCCAAGCTGTTGGACATCATCAGCATTTGGGGAGAGGAGGCTGTGCAGTCCCAGCTGCGCTCCAGCCATAGGAATTATGATACCTACGTACAGATTTCACGATGCATGACAGAAAGGGGCCATGACCAGGACACACTGCAGTGCAGGATAAAAATGAAGGAGCTGCAGAATGCCTACCACAAGGCACGGGAGGCAAACCACTGCTCCGGTGCTGCGCCCACAAGCTGCAAGTTCTACAAAGAGCTGGACATGATATTCAGTGGCAACCCCACCTTCTCTGCGAAGGCCACTGTGGATACTTCAGTAAAATCAAGGGGTAAAAATAAAAACATGCAAGGTTAGTTGCCTTGAGGCCTTTCAGCTGCTCCATTTTTTGGCTACCACCCTTAGGAACTGATATAATCCTAGGTGGGTTCCATGGTAGAATTCAGACTAGGAATTTAAAACAAAATCAAGTATCTGATTCTCCCCCCCCCCCGGCACTGAGTGCGCACAACTCCAGCTGAAGTCAAAGGGAGTTGCAAGTACTCAGCACATCTATCAGAAATAGGATTTTCCCTTCCCAAGCCCTGGTAGGGTACAACTGCATCAGTAACACCAGTTCTCCTTTCTACTCTTGCTCTGCTGTCTCTGTTCCCCTGTATGGTCAGTCATTTATAATCTCTTTCTTTGCTGGTTGAAGCTGAGCAGTCTTTTCTGAAGTCACATGGGTTTTCTCCGTGGAAGAACAAAAGAGGTAAGCAGCACAAACTATTTCTTCCTTGGCCAAATGCTAAAGTTAGAAGGAGTTTTACTAAATTACCGTTGATTTCAGAGGATGATGAATTGGATCCCTCTCTCTAAATACACCTTCAGTTTGACAGTAAATTTTTACCCTCATGGTGTACACACGACTGTCTGGAGCTCCTTTAACCAGACTTACTTTGCATCAGTGGTGTAACAACAGAATCCTGAGATAGAAACCTTTCTAAGCAGTACCCATGTAGTTGCTACATGGTGTCATGGTTACAGGGCTAGTTGAACCTCTGACCTCTTTCAGCACATGCTCCTCAGGTATGAGGCCTCATATCTTTGCCTCTCTGTAAAGGAATCTCACAATTTTTCCCCTCCTAGACAGGGTCCTCCTGGGCTATCATATCCTGTAGATCAGGGATGGGCAAACTACAGCCCGAGGGCCAAATCTGGCCAGCCAGCCATTTTAAGCCAGCCCTCAAGCTCCCGCTGGGGTGCAGTGTCTGGGGCTTGCCCCGCTCTGGCACTCCAGCCAGGGAGCAGGGTCGGGGACTGGTCTATGTGGCTCCTAGAAGCAGCGGCATAGCCCTCCCCACCCCCCGGCTCTCCAATGAGAGCTGCATACAATTTCTATTCAAAGATATGGCCCTCAGGCCAAAAAGTTTGCTCACCCCTGCCATAGATCAACCATGCTTACCCTCAATAGGTCTGACTGGGTTCAGATACCTGCAGATCTTCCCTTAGAGACCTTGTGGCTTGAGGTGAATACAGTGACTTGAAACAGCTTTCTTAAAGCAAAGTATTGTTTAATCTTAACAGTAGGAACAAGACAAAGCATAAGAGAAGAGGGCTCTGAAACATTAAATGCCTATACATATATCTTTCTTACATAAAGCTTTAGGAGGCCAATCTTAACCCAGCCAGCGGGAAATGAGTCTGTTCCCCAGTAGTCTCTCTACCCCTGTCATTGAGGGCCTGTATTCTAATTCAGCCAAAGTTCTCTGTTCCAATTTTTCCAGACTTGGATACCCCATGGTGACAAAATGGGATTTACTCCTTTCCCATGTTGGAGCAGTGAGCTCAGTAGTGTATTGGAGGTGGCACTTCAAAGAAAAAGGCTCTGGCATTCTCCCTCAAGTGTGGGTAAATGGGTGGCATGTGAAGCCATTGTCCCCTCCCTTGTGTTCATGCAGTCAACCCTTCTGGAATTAAGACCTCATAGTCCTATTGTAACAAACCTTACTGCCATTAGGTAAACAGAACATATATTCATAAATTATTACAGGCGGCTCCAAATCCATCCCAGATGGTACTGTTCAAGGATCCATTGTGGGGCTACATGTGTCTAGAATCATTCACACAGTGAAGTCTGCAGAATCAGGCCCTATAAGCACAAAGTAAAATTCACCCCACAGACAAGGATCTATGCAGGCCCTGTGTACCTCATGAATTGATTGATTGATTAGTCCAGAAAAGCCTTGCTAAGCCTTTTGCATTGAGATGTATTACATTCCCATGCAGTTGTCTGACTACTCATTTCTGAAAAGAAAGATGCCTAGACCAGCTATTAGGCAGACTCAAACCTGGTTTCCTGTCACATGCAAAGTTTCTCACTTCATACCTGTCACAGAAAAGGACTGACTTGTTGGAAAAAGAGCACATCTGGACTTACTACATATTTATCTGATTGCATTTTAACTGGGGACTTTTTGTTAACAGCCACACTTGCTTTTCAACAGTTGGACTGAAGTAAAATCTCAAACTCGGCCTTCATAGCATGGGTGGGGAGATTAAATGTACAATGGATGCTGGGAATGGTTGAATGACTAGACATTTACATCTGTTTAATTAAGAACTAGCTCATTTCAGCTGAGATCATGCTGGGAATTACAACACTTTTGTGATTCAAATTCCAGTAAGGTTATAAGAGAAATAGTTTGGTGTCTTTTCAATCCCTAGCAGGCAGTGGTGCACATCGCAAAGCTAATAAATGATTGGCAGAACTGCAAACTAAGGATTTTGTCATTATCTGTAAAAAGGTGTCTCTAAAGTAGGATTTGGGTCAACCATGGGTATGTGAAATCATACATGCAGGTGACAGTGAGTGAGTGATTGCTTATAAATATTATCCATCATTTGGCACCAAGGTAATTCTGGCTTCATCCCTAGAAGGTATTTATTCTATTAATGACCTGTTCATCTACCTTAGGTACTTGCGTTGCCCTCAGTATGTCTGTGTGCTTTGCTATCTTTAATGTATTTATCCTCACAACACCTCTGTGAGGTAGAGCAGAGCTATATTCCCCCTCTGTAAAATGGGGAACTAAGGCACAGGCAGGCTAAATGACTTGGCCAAGGTCACACAGGAAGTCTGTGGCAAAGCTGGGAATTGAATCCTGGTCTCCTGGGTCTCAGACTCATGTCCTAACTACTGTATAATCATCCTCTCTGTCCCCCATTTTGAATTCTTTCCAAATAAGCACACCTCTGTAACTGACTAATGGTCCAGCAGTTGCACCAGCGGGGGGGCTTTGTTCCTGCATCAGCCTGCGATTTACCTTGAAGTATGTGGACTGGTAATCCTTGTAATTCTTCTTGCTATTGTAAATACAACTACTGTTATCTTTCCATAGACATTACTAATCAATGTTTGAACTCAATGAGGCAATCACCTCAATATCCTGCAGCAGGGAGTTCCATGGATTTGTTACATGTTGTGTTACCTACCAGTGGAATTGAGTGTCACATTCTTCTTGTACCATGGGAGACAAAGCTGGCCTTAGCATTTCAAAGTGCTTGTGCTACTTACCCTCTCTGCAGCTTTTTCTGCAGATAACCACAACACACTACTGGCCTGCTTATATGATACAGCTGGAATAAATGGGACAGCCTTACTATGGATCCAAAAGTTCTTGTTCAATGATGGATAACTTCTCTTTCCCAAAAGTTCTCACCTGTGGGGTTCCACGAGGATCAACCATATAACTGCTGCTCTGCTGAACATGACAAAACTTGAGATGTAGTAAGGGTCACTGCCAGCAAGATATGAATGATAACCTTGATCACAAAATGGTAGCCAGTTTTTATTAAGAATACCAAACATCATGTTTTCCTTTTTTGTTTCTAAATATATAAAAATGGTTCCATCTGTTCCTAGGGAATTTCAAGGCCTCTGTTAGACTCTATTTGGAATCTTTTTCTCCACCTTACATCAAAAGGAAGCTGAAAGAGTTAAAGTGCTTTGCTAAAGGAATTCTACTCACTAGGTATGTACCAAGGTCTCCATTTATCAGATGCTCCTCCCCCTCCATGCTGACTTTGCATATGCAGCTCTAACTCATGAATAAAGGTTTGCATGGAGGGAGATTAATTTCATGATACAAATCCTGACAGCTATAACAGGCTGTGGTTTTCTGGGATAATACTGCAATTCAGATTTCCTACTGCTTGAAGCAATTATTTTTCTGGTAAGTTGTACTGATCCTATGCAAGGATTTTTACAGGTGTCTTTGCATCCCAGAACAAAGATATGAAGCCTAGAGCTACTTTTTTTCTCATCATTGCTGTAACTCTGTTATGTATAAGTTATTTTAGTGGCCCTGTCTCTGTCAAGTCTCTGGGATTTACAGTCTCTCTAGCCCTCTTTGCCAGACTTTCAGGCACTCTTTCCTTAACAGAAGATGATTTGCCATATGGTAAAGTGGGTTTGCACACCATTAGATGTTTTTAATTGCACTGTGTTTACAAAGTGCTCTGTAAATACTTACATATCCTATTCTGCTAGAAATGATTTTTTGTACTGCATTTTCCTGGGTCTATTCCAAATGATGCCACTATGAGAAATTATATTACACTTGCTGCCATAAAATGCCATTCAGAGCTTAATGACTCCATGCCCAGCATGGGGTGTGTCAAGATCACCTCTCTCATGTCCATAAATAAGGCATCAAAAGGATTACTCCAAAGCATTCAGGAGAGTAGGTCAGATTGTACTCTGAGATGAAGACCCAGTCTGCACCCAAAGTAGCACTGTTCAGGGTGGATAAAAATCAGTGATTTTTTTTTTTAAAAAAAAGACGTTTTTTATTTAAATCGGATTTTTTAATTTAAATTGGATTTTTTGATTAGATGCTTTTTGAGAAAAAAAACCTTTTAAGATACATTACAGTTCAAAGCTATCTCATCATGGAATAGGGATTATAAATTCTAGTTCTATATATTGGGACAATATATTCATGTAATGTTTAAGAAAAGTTTTGTAAATGAGTTCCAATAGTTCACAGATTAGGGATCCAATCTTATGGGGTTCCAGGGGCTTCTGTGTAGATTACTTTGGTTAATCTTTCTATTTACCCAATGGGACTTGGTGCTCAGTCTAGAAGATGCCATCAGAGATACTTAGTTTTGTAGTTCTCGGACTGTGGATTTGTGTCTCCAGAGATAACATGCTTGTTAACAGCAAAAAGGTTTTAAAATAAATAAATAAATAATAGAGGTGAGAAATTTGTCTACACAGAGTCAATCCCTTACCTCTCTAAAAGTGCAAAATTTCAAAAAAGTTCAATGAATAGAAGATTTTGTTGGGGGCAGAATAGATCTGGACAAGGAGAAAAAGTCTGGAGATAAATGTGAGCAGGGAGGGACAGGCAGCAGAAACAAAAGTGAAACTGAGCAGCATATTCCAGAAGTCTTGAGGTCTTTCTGACTGTAGCCTTCATTGATTTGAGATCTACCATACCATTCTCTCACTAGAAGGGAAAAGCTATAATGGCAGCAGGCCGTAAAAAGAGACCCAGTTTGGGAATATTTTAATGAAGTTCCCCTACCTGTGGGTAAGACAGGCACGCATGCAAAATGCAAACAGTGCAACAAAGAAATGCAAGACCCGGTTGCCCAAATGAAATGTCATGAGAAGTGTTCCTTCTCAGGAGGAAGCTGTGTTGAAGTTGATGAAAGGAACATGTCTGAACATGCAGGATCTTCAGGTTGATAAACTTTTTTATTTCATACTTGTTTCTTAAGGACTGCCTGTCTTCCTTCTGGACTATTTTTGAATTCTCATGTTTTCAGCAAAAAATATAGTTGTTAGTCTATGGTACTATCATTTTAGATGTTGTGATAAAAAATAAATAGCTGAAATAGGCAGATCTTCCTTTTACAATTTTACCTTTAAAGTAGTGCTGAGTGTCAGTGAATGCAATGAGTAATACTAAATGAGCAGTATGGTAATAATCATTAAAGAACTGCACTGACTTATTTTGTTTAGGAGAATCTGTCCTCAACATACAGGATTCTGAAGACTATCCACCGTCAAGATCATCATCATTTTCTATAGTTTCAGAGTTATCTGCAAATGGTGTTTCAGTCACATCATGTATGTCACATAGCCACAGTATATCACCTGCAGCAAAAACGGAAAAAAAAAATCTCCATCCAGAAACAACCATAGATAAATTTGTGATGAGAACCAGCAGATTACAAAAAGAGGTAATTGATTAAATATTTGTGCGGTTTGTTTGTGCAAGAAACTCCTTTCCATATGATTGAGAACTCACACTTCATTAACATGGTTCAGTCATTAAGACCAGGATACAGTCCACTCAACAGAGCAGATGTTGCAGGCAAATTTCTGGATAAAGTGTATGAAAGAGAAATTGAGCAGTGTGCAAAAGGTCTAGAGGTGAAATTTTTAACCTGATTCTTGATGGGTGGAGCAGTGTCCACAATGATCCTGTTGTGTGTGCTTGTGTGACAACAGAAGAAGGGAATGTCTTCCTTGCAGAAACAATTGATCAGGAAATGTGCACACACAGCAGAATACTTACAAGAAGTAGCAGTAAAAGCTATAACAAACTGTGGGGTGAAAATTCAAATGTCTAGTATGCAGCTTGGTCACAGACAATGCTGCAAATGTATCCAAGATGAGAAGAAATCATTTAGAAGAGAGTGAAAAGAGTCCCAAGTTAATAGCGTACAGTTGCAGTGCTCATTTGATGCTCTTCCTAGCCAAAGACTTCAGTGTTCCAGAAATAAAGGCTAATGTTGTTGAAATTGCAAAACACTTTTGTAACAACCACTTTGCAGCAGCGGCTCTGAAAAATGTGGGAGGAACCAAGCTAACTCTCCCACAAGACGTGTGATGGAACTCGGTAGTGGACTGTTTTGAGCACTATATCAAGAACTGGCCTAATCTGATGAGAGTTTGTGAACAAAATAGCAAAAATATAGATGGCACTGTCACAGCCAAAGTTCTCAACATGGGGCTTAAGAGAAATGTTGAACACATGCTGAGTACACTGACGGCTATTTCTGTAGCCTTGAACAAAACGCAGGGAAATAGCTGTTTTATTGTTGGCGCTGTTGACATTTGGAAGGAACTGAGTGAGAGCTTAAAAAGAGAAATATGCAATGACAGAGTTAAATTACAAGCATTAAAAAACCCCGAATTGGATAAGCACCATCTCCAGCTCATTTTCTTGCAAATATTCTCAGTACTCAGTACCAGGGTCAAACCTTAACTGCTGAAGAAGAGGAGTTGGCTATGACATAGACATCCAGCAATCATCGCTCCATAATGCCAACTATAATAAACTTCAAAGCTAAGGGTGAACTATTCAAGAAATATATGTTTGATGATGTTTTGAAGAAAGTCACACCAGTGAACTAGTGGAAGTCACTTAAGCACTTGGATTCAGAGACTGTTGAAGTGATAATCTCACTTTTAACACCAGTAGCTTCTTCTGCCAGTGTAGAAAGAATATTTTCTTCCTTTGGACTAACTCATTGCAAATTGAGAAATCCTTTGGGACCTGAAAAAGCAGGAAAGCTTGTTTTTCTTTTCCAGATTGGGAACAAGCAGGAAAATGAAGGTGAAAACGACTGAGTTAGCTGCAGAAACCAATATTTTAAGTTTCTCATATTGACCTAGCTGACAGTCTATTTAATTTTTTTTCAAAAAATATTTCATTTAACTATTTTAGTTAAAAATAATTTTAACAAAAACCTGATTTTAAAAAACTTGATTGTTTAACTAAATTCAAAAATTCATATGCTTGTTTTGTTAAAATATTATGTTTGCTGTTGAAGAAAAAAATCCAGAATACATAACGTTGTTGTTTTAGTTAAATAAAACAATTTAAATGTCTGTCTGGTGATGTTCTCCTCCTAATACAGCATGGCAAGAAAATCCTCCAAATGTTAATGATTAACCTGTTGAATTGGAGATAGTTCACCTCCAAATGACTTCATGAATATCTGTTTCAATTACCTTTGGTAAATGAATTAACCAACCAACCAATCATTCATTTTCTGATATAGCTGTAAAACTAATCTGAAAAGTTTTCAAAATAAACCACTTAAAATGTATAGTGTGTACCTTCTAAAAACGAAACCTACATCTATATTTGAGTTGTGAAAAATATGTATTAAGGTTATAACAACTAACAAGAATGCAGTTTTATGTAGAAATCCATGATTAAATAGAGTCTTCCTGACTAGTGGTTTAAATCAAATCCACCCTGGCACTGGTTAAACGAAAAGCGTAGCTTTAAACCAGTTTAGTTAGTTAAATGAGTTCAAACCTTTGCATGGACACACTTCTATGGTGGCACAAGCAAAACCAATACAAACAATTTTAAACTGATAGAACTGTGATCTCTGTGTGTAAACAAAGCCTAACTCTTGAGATAGTGTCTTCAAAATAGACCTGCTGTCTCCCTTCTGCCAGGTTACATACAGAATAAAATGAAAGGACTATTTTGATACTCTGCTACAGTGCAGGTTTTATGCCTCCTAAGAGCAGTTGGTGGCAAATAACCTCTTCACGCAACAGAAAAGACACTGTTACTTTGTTTTTCACTACCTGGGACTTTGGAGCATAAAAGTAACATTTTGGATTTAAATGTGAAGTATGTTGACCAGTAGGGAACAGATCATGTAGTTTGAGTTGTACCATGTTTTGGGAGGGTGGAGGGGATGGGATGCACAAGATGAATCCCTCCTCCCATTAAAATGATGCCAGCCAATTACATGTACCTATCTTTATGATTGGCACCTGACTGACTGGCTCTGTTTGAAATGGTCCCCTATAAGATAGCCATGTAAGATAACTTCCGTTTTCCTCTGCATGAAGCTGGCTTACTGCTTTTCCCACCTTTTTGCTTAAGGTTGTGCTGATAGGTTTCTGCTTGATTCAGTACTTGGCTGTATGGTATGATTTCTGTGGCAGGATTACTTTTGCATATCTATAATGTCTCTAGGATTGGTATGGCTCAGTTCATGGGTATGTAGTACACAATGAATAAGTTGACTTTTGCCCTTGCGCATAAGCTGTTCCTCAGGTATGGTGAAATGGATTTTTACTATTCTTCCTTTCTGAGCAGAGACTTTTAGCTTTTCAGCCGTGTGCTTGATGGGGTGTCCTACCTGTGGGAATTCAAATAGTTCCTGTTCCAGGGAGGAGATAGAATGGACTCTAAGTTCTCCAGTAGTTGGGAATTGGGGGGGGGGGGGGAGATGTCGTTTTATAGAATAGGCATCAACCCCAACCATCACCTCTACAGTTGGTAGCTAGTTTGTGGGAGAAGCCCCATTTCTTAAAACAAGGACTCAGATGGGACTGGAATTGGTGGCCTGTGTTCTAGCCTGGTCAGACCAGGTGGGATCTAGATGAGTCCCTTCAGTACAAGTAGCAATGCTGGAAAGACGGTGGAGTGGGAAAAAGGCTTGTGTGAGCAAACCAAACATTCATCTTCCTCAGCTTCCAGGACTTGAGTGCATGTATGTCAGTGTACGTAGGTGTAAAATGAAAGATTCTGGATAAATCCTCCTGATGCTATTAACTAGCAAGCACTGGGGAAAACAAGTGGATAAGGAGATGCAGAGCACATGGACTGGCCTCCAAGAAAGACCTTTCAGACGTCAATGAAGTTCACTCTCTCACTGTGAATTATTAGTCACTGAAGGACATCCACACTGTGTAGAGGTCAAGCATAGGAGTTTATTACGTACAGTGCTGACGGAGTGTCACCTCGCTTATCAGGCTCAGAGACACTGTCAATCAATTGATTACAATGAAATATATGGATTTTCCATGGGCGGGGAAAGTGATGGGGTAGGCAGTTCCACACCCCCGGACAGGTCGAGCTGCAAGACATGATAGCACAGTAGCCAATGGTCAAAAGGTTACATAATGTTTCCGCCCATGGTCTCAATGTTAACAAATTAACATTTAGTATTTAATTAGTACTTTAATAAATGTATTAGAATAGAATATATATTGAATTCAATTTGGGGTCCATAGAAATGAAGTAGCTCCTTTGATTGTCCAACAGATACATATCTAGGGGTAAAAGCAAAGAAACAGTGAAAGTATATGGCAATAAAGATTGTCTTTCAAGTTGCCTATTTGTGTTTTAAGGCAGGCATTGGTTCCTGGGAAAGGGAGGTGGGAAGAGGCCATATCTTATACTGACGTGTTCCAACCTTTCATAAACTCAAGGTTGAATGTGTGGGAAGAACATCTCCCTACAGGAGAAACTAACACAACAAAAACAGGGCTTCTTTGTTCTATTTGCAACTTTGAATAAGACACAATTATTGCCCCCAACATCTGGCGTTTTGCTGACCAGACATATCGTATCAAAAACAAGGTTATCTTTGGTTATTCTGCTTTCTCTTAGCTAATCGCTATTTGCTAGGCCTCTGACCTCTTGACCAAACTCTGGACTTTGGGCCTGTACACAAATCCATATACCAGGTTATTACATCAGCAATGGATTTTAACCCTTCAGCCACATTTTCAGCCGGTTTCAAACTATCCTCTGATTTGGCATGCTCACTTTTTTTTTCAGGCTTACAAGAGATTGCAGGCATAAAAGGGGACACGGACCCATTTTGAATGCATAAAGTCTGCATTTACTCATGCCAGTTGGGTAACTAATCACTCATCAGTCTGACCCATATCCCCAAATTGGGAGTAGGTGGAATTGGAGATGTGCGAAAGTAAAGGCTGCATTTGAAAATTTGGTTCAACATGTTGTGACAATATCACCTGTGTTTCCAGTGTTAAAAGTAGAAATGCATATCAAACCTCTGCTATAGGTCTCTTGCTCCTATGTATACTTTAGAGCAGCATATATTACTCCTGGCTGTTATAAGGAAAGAGTCAAATTCAGGAGTTTTGTACAGGGCTGAATCACTTGTAGAATGAACCTCACTTGCAAAGCAATAGTTGTAGTCTTCCTTTACCCATGGCTTACTGAAGTAACACACATAGTTTTTAATTTGAGTTCATTAGTTTGTTGTTGCTTTTCTGTAGCTCAGTGATGAGTGGTTTAACAAGAAAGTGGTTGTAGCGTAGGATTTCATAGATGAGGTGGCAGCATCTTACTTGGGAAACCCAAGAGGAATCAGTGGAGGGGAATGGACTTTTGGGGGCAGATTTTCAACTGGTGTATACTGTCAGAGCTTCACTGGCTCCAATGGAGCGATGACAATTTACACCAACTGAGAATGTGCCCGATGGATCACAAGAGAATTTTTCTCCTGGGTTTCCTGACTCCAAAACATTAAAAATCTAATGCAGCTTTATTCTCCATCCTCCTTTAAGTCTTAAATGTCTGTCTTTGGGGCATGGTCTGTAATAGACTAGGGCTTTAGGACCAGTTTTTCTGAGAAGCTGGCAGTGTTCAAGAAGGGCCCTTGACACCGTTCTGACTTAATGCTAGGCACATCTGCAGCTACTTGGACAAAATTGACATTGTCTAGAGAGCAAAGCAATCACCTACTGTAGCATTACAGAGCATTTACACTTGAGCCGTGTTACCAGACAGTAAATCTTGACCTTTAGGAGTTCAGAGATTAGATTTCTTTGCCACAGGCATTCAAGATATTGTTAGGAATTTGTTGCTATTCAAAGCAGATTTCAGGGGTTACCTATGGGTTTAATTCATCGCATCAATCATTTTTGGAAGGTTCTTTTAAAGCCGAGATAGCTTCAAATAAAAACTAGGATTACTTTTACAGTTGGTGAAAAAGCGAAAGCAAAAAAGTGTCTTACGACACTGCTATAAGTTTCATTATTTATTCCTACATGGGCCGCTATTCTACAGCAGGCAGATGGAAATTGCTGCTTTTCTACTCCATAAACTAACTAATTTTATTCCAATGGGGATTTAAGCTAAAAAACAGTATTTAGGATTTGAGTCACAATCAGGCATGGTTTAACTCAAACTCAATATAAAACTCTTTCCAATTATTCTAGACATTAATTCATATATTGATGCAATACTAATAACCTGTTAATGACCACTGACTTTATACATCCTAAAATATTGCTTGGCACCTAATTCTTTCAGATAGTGCTTGACTTCTGTATAAATCAAGCATAGATCTACCAAGTTGGGTGGAGATATCAGCTGAGTGCCATCAGGGTCATACTTCCCACCTCCCTGTTAAAGACGTACATTTATATATTATATATACGCACGCACACGAACACACACGTCTGCTCTTTCCCAGAGGGAGAAGGACTAGGACTTAGCCCTGGTCTACACTATGAGTTTAGGTCAAATTTAGCAGCATTAGATCGATTTAACCCTGCACCCTTCCACACAACAAAGCCATTTTTGCCAACTTAAAGGGCTCTTAAAATCGATTTCTGTATTCCTCCCCGACTAGGGGATTAGCACTGAAATAGACAGTGCCAGGTTGAATTTGGGGTAGTGTTGATGCAATTTGATGGTATTGGCCTCCAGGAGCTATCCCAGAGTGCTCCATTGTGACCGCTCCGGACAGCACTTTCAACTCAGATGAACTAGTCAGGTAGACAGGAAAAGCCCTGGGAACTTTTGAATTTCATTTCCTGTTTGGCCAGCATGGCAAGCTGATCAGCACAGGTGACCATGCAGTTCCAGAATCACAAAAGAGCTCCAGCATGGACCAAACGGGAGGTACTGGATCTGATCGCTATATGGGGAGACAAATCTGTGCTATCAGAACTCCATTCCAAAAGACGAAATGCCAAAATATATGAAAAAAATCTCCAAGGGCATGATGGACTGAGGCTATAACATGGCCCCACAGCAGTGCTGCGTGAAAATTAAGGAGCGCAGGCAAGCCTACCAAAAAATCAGAGAGGGAAATGGCCGCTCCGGGTCAGAGTCCCAGACATGCCGCTTCTGT